CGTTGCAAGAATTTCTTTGAGTCCTTTACCCTTGCTTCTCGAGTTAAGAGCCATGAATGTTTGTTTTACACCTGATTCAACCGGTTCAGTTATTGCTAATTTGCAAGTAAAGCCAATATTACTTGAACAGGTGAAGGAAGCACAAAAGTTAGATGAGAAGCTTGTAAAATTGACCCAGAGAAGTTCAAAATGGGGAAAAACTTGATTTTACATTTAACAGAGGATGATGGTCTATTTTTATCAGAATAGGTTATGCGTCCCTAATGATGACAACTTGAGGAGGAAAATACTGCATGAAGCACATACTTCACCGTTTGCAATGCATCCTGGGGGTACAAAGATGTACCAGACCATTAAAGAACATTATTGGTGGAATGGTATGAAGAGAGACATTGCAGAGTTCATTTCTAAATGTTTGGTTTGTCAACAAGTAAAGGCAGAACATCAGGTCCCAGTTGGTTTACTACAGCCCTTGTCGATGTCGGAATGGAAATGGGATAGAATAACTATGGACTTTGTTTCTGGACTTCCTCGCACTCAGAGAAATCATGATGCAATATGGGTGATTGTGGAGAGGCTAACCAAGAGTGCTCACTTCTTAGCAATCAAGATGGATTACTCGCTTGAGCGTTTAGCCGAATTGTACATTAATGAGATTGTAAGACTACATGGGATCCCTGTGTCTATTGTATCTGACCGAGACCCAAGGTTTACATCTAGATTTTGGGGTAGCTTGCAGGAAGCTTTGGGTACTAAGTTGAAATTTAGCACTTCGTTCCATCCTCAGACGGACGGCCAGTCGGAAAGAGTGATACAAATTTTGGAGGCTGTGCTTCGAGCCTGCATTATGGAGTTTGAGGGTAGTTGGGACAAACACTTGGCTTTGATAGAATTTGCTTATAATAATAGCTACCAATCGAGTATTGGAATGCCTCCCTATGAAGCCCTTTACAGAAGGAAATGTCGGACCCCTCTTTGTTGGAGTGAAGTTGGTGACAAAAACCTTGTTGGAGTGAAGTTGTAAAAATTATCAAGGATCGTCTAACGATTTCTTTGTATAGACAAAAGTCGTATGCTGATCTTAAAAGGCGGGACATTGAATATCAAGTGGGAGATAAAGTATTCCTAAAAGGTGTCTCCATGGAAAAAGATTATGAGATTTGGCCAAAAAGGATAACTTAGTCCCCGATTTTATTGGACCTTATGAGATACTTGAAAGGGTTGGACCAGTTGCATATAAATTAGCTTTGCTACCAGAGTTGGAAAAGATCCACAATGTCTTTCATGTTTCTATGCTCAGAAGATATCGTTCCGATCCATCGCATGTTCTCCCAGTTGAGTCTATTGAGGTTAATCCTGACTTGACGTATGATGAAGAACCTATTTTAATTCAAGCTTGGGAAGTGAAGCAACTTAGAAACAAGAGAATCCCCTTAGTAAAGATACTTTGGAGGAACCACTCTGGAAAAGAAGCTACCTAGGAGAGAGAAGAAGACATGAGGACCCAGTATCCGCACTTGTTCCGGGACTAGCGTAAGGTAAATTCGAGACGAAATTTCTTTAAGGGGGAGAGAATTGTAACACCCCTAAATACTAACCAAGAGTCGCATGCCGATTTTACCATTGTCTTAATTACTAGAATATGTTTTAGTCTCATTTTGGGAACTTGAAATGTTGTGATAATTGCCAACTTGCTTAGCATAAAATTCTTATCGTAATTTAAGGATTTGTGATGGGGTGTTTAGGTAATATTCTAATTAGAATTATGTTTAACTTTAATAGGAGATGAGGGATATATATATATAAGTGTATATGTATACATTTTGGGCAGCACACAAATTTTTGGGCAGCACCTTTGAAAGACAGCTGCCCAAGGGATAAGCATCACTTGTTGACTATGTATTTTCACCCCTCCTTTAGTAATTTCGTTTTCCTTAAGCCTTAGAACCTTAGAAACATATCTAAACAGAGTGTTCTTCAAAATAACAAGAGAAACTTGGCCCTTTTTTGGCTGGAATTCAAGAACACACACTTCTTGTTGGTAAGTGTCGAAATTTGTTTCTGAACTTGGGTAGTATTTAGTATTATATGCATATCTCTCGCTCTAGAACTTAGTTTACAGTGAGTAAATATGATTTGGAAAGCTAATTCGTAGACCTAAAACTAATATGCATATGTCAAACTCTGATTCAGCTGTTATAGACTCGAAATATGGGACGCAACATAGAACCAGTTCTGTCCAGATTTTGGAATTTCAAATTCTGTATGAACAGCTGTTAGTGTTTTGACTATATCTTGTTGTACAAAATACATTTTGCGGAGATTCTTGTTTGTTTGAAACCCTAAGAGATGTATCTACATATTTCATGGAGGTTATAAAGTCTAGTTTTGCTGTTTTCCATTTCAAATCTAAGTTGCGACATGAGGTACTAGGCTGGCCAGAATCACTGTTTTGGGAGCATTGTTGTGTTTGTGCAGGCTAATTTTACCTGTGATGATGATCTTATTTTACATCAATATTATTGAGCTGCTAGGGAGTAAAGAAGTTATTTAATTTTATTTTAAAGGTTGTATGTACTCGTGAACAAGTTGAGGACCTTGATACATTGGTTGGACTGTTTCTTTGCTAAAGCACTGAGGTTTGTGTATAAACTTGTACTTGCACTCTTTTAAACTCTAGTATATCTGAAATTGGATCTTGGTACCTTGGTTACCTCTTGTCACTTTGCATGGTTGTGTTGGTATCCTTTGAGACGTTAAAGACGCTTGTGTAACTCGCCCACTTGTATGGATTGTTTGATCACCTGGCACTCTTGTTGGGACCTTGTCCTTCTTGTGGCTGTGACTTTGTCACTCTTGGCATGCCTCTTGATTCGGATCATTTGCCATCTTGACTCTGGATTTTTAGTTCGTCTTAAGTATGGATGTTGTCCATTTTAAGTACGAATTAGAAAACTATTTTTAATATGGTTCTTGGTTCCCTTGATTATTGGGCTTTGACCCTTCTTGATACAGGGCGTTGGCCCTTCTTGATACTTGTTTGTGTTTGGTGTGAGGACATGATCTACATATTGGGCGAGCCTTGTTGTTGAATCTCTTGGAAAATGATGCTATGAACGTTCTTGATATTTGGGTCTTTAAATATCGAACTTGATACTCTTTATATATTGTTTACTTGATTTATTAATTATGTTCAATTACGTTGCCCATCACTTGAGAAAGTTTGTTTTGTGAATCGGATGGCTCCGAAACTATAGTTTTGCACCACTAAGCTATATGCTTAGCGATAGTTGTTTCTATCATAGGGAATGATCGAGA